AGCAATGTGTCACTCCCGGAGTTCAGCACCCACATGGCAGTTCTCAGATGCCTAGAGCTCCAGCGCCAGGAGGTCTGATACCCAGATCTAGCCTGTGGGCACTGCACTCATGGGCATACACATAATCAACTGGATATGATCCATCGTGGTTAGGAAGGCATGGCAGTAGCCACGTAACATGGCTGGTCACAGTGCATCCACAGTTAGGAAGCAGACAGCAGACAGGAAGTGGGAAGGGTCTATCAAACCTCAAGACTGGCTTCTTGTGGTGATGTATTGTTTATGATTTAATAAAGCTTGCCTGGGGATCAGAATGCAAAGTCAGCCCCACAAGTTAGCCATAGAAGCTGGGCAGTGTGGCACTCACCTTTAATCCCAGGACTCAGGAGACAGAGGCAGATGGATCTCTCTGAGTTCAAAGCCACCCAGGTCTATACAAGAGTGAATCAGTCTAAAAGAGAAACAGAGCTCACGCGTTTAATCCCAGCACTAGAGATGGAAATAAGAAAGAAACAAAGGGTCTCATGGGGTAATTAGTCCCCAGCCACGCTGAGGAGAGCAGGGCCATCTAGGAATCTGAGACTTGGTGGAGAGCAGTGCAGTCTGGAGATGCAATCTGAGGTTCAGTGGTTCTCCCCTTCAGTCTGAGCATTGGTAGAGGTGAGAACTCTCTGGTGGCTTGGCTCCTTTGCTTTTCTGATCTTCAGCTTGAACCCCAATATCTGTCTCTGGGTTTTTTTATTATTTGTGCTACAGCTTCTAGGGACTTACTTCCTCCTATAGGCCCTGCCTTCTTAAGTAGTGGTTCTCAACCTTCCTAATGCTGTGACCCTTTAGTGCAGTTCCTTATGTTATGGTGAATCCAACCATAAAGTTATTTTTGTTGCTACTTCATAAATGTAGTTTTACTACTGTTATGAATCATAATATAAATATCTGGTATGCAGGATATCTGATACATGAACCATATGGAGGAGTCGTTCCATCCCCAAAGGGGTCATGATCTACAGTGGTTGAGAACCACTGTTCTAAAGGCTCCACAACCTCCCAACCCCAGCTACGGACCACGTGTTCAAACACATGGGCCCATAGTGGAGTTTCATATCCAAGCCCCTACAGCAGGGGAGGGGTGACAGATGAAAAATAGCCATGGATACGCCATTTGTGAGGCAAGTGACAAGTGTGTAGGATTCACTATAGTAATACTTACACTGTTGTGTTTTGCACTGTTGAGATTTTCTGTAACAAAAGGTTAGACAGAGGAAGTTTTCCCAAAAGAAATATGATTGTTTTTATGATTTCCAAAAGGAATCCAGACACAAGAGAACTTCATAGTGAACAACCACACGATTTCTGTTATTTAAGTGGCACAAGTGTTGTTTAAGTACTTGCTGTTTTCCTTACTTACTAAATGATTGTTCCAGGAGCTGGAGAGTTGGCTCAGCAGTAGACAGCACTGGCTGATCCTGTAGAGAACCTGGGTTCAGTTCCTAGCACGCAAATTAAGGTCTCTCAACCATCTGTAACTCCAGTTCCAGGGGATCTGAAGACCTCCCCTGGCCTCTCTGGGAACTGCACAGGTAGAGAGAATTGCTGTGAGTCTAAGGCCAGCCTGTGCTACATAGTGAATGCCAGGTCAGCATAAGCTACAAAGTAAGAGTTTGTAAAACAAACAGACAGACAGACAGACAGACACACCATCTCTCTCACACACACACCACACTACAGAAACCAATCAACCAATCAACCAACCAACCAAACACAAAAAACAATGCCCTCTCCAAGTAACAGAGAAGCCAATTAATTGAAAGTGGTCATGATTTCATGTAGTAGTTTATGTATCTTGGGAAGGAATTTCATTTTCATCTTGAGGAAAATAGAAAGACATCGGAGGCTTTTAAGAAGAGGTGTAGTATAACATGATTTAGGACCTCAAAAAATATGGCTGCTGGATGAAACCTTGAGTGGAAAGAAAAACTCCTAACATTGAAGATAAACTAGTATCTAAACTTAATATAGAAGTAAAATTATATATATATATATATGTGTGTGTGTGTGTGTGTGTGTGTGTGTGTGTGTGTGTGTGTGTGTGTGTATACATGAAGAGAGAAAAAACAGTGTGTGTGTTTGTGTGTGTATTAAGGTATATACACATACAGAAAGAGAAAAAACAGTGTGTACATTCATGTACACTTGCATGCATGTGTGTGCACATGTGTGCACAAGCAGGCTTTCCCATGCACATGGGGTCTAGAGGACACCCTTGACTGTGCCTGGTTCCTAAGGCACGATCCACCTTGTTCTGGAGTCAAAGGCCTCTCACTGACCCAGAGCTCACCAAGTATGTTAGGCAGGCTGGCCAGTGAGTCTGGCATCTGTCTGCTCTACCTCCAGCACTCTGGGATTACAAGAGAGTGTTACCATGTGAGACTTTTAAATATGATTTCTGGGGGATTAAACCCAGGTCCTCATGCCACAGTCTATGACCTTCTTGTTGTCTATTTTTAAAAAAGCTATTGTTCTTTAAATTACTAATGCTGTGAATACTGTTTAGCAAAAATAGGTCATGGGATCTTGCCAGTTCTAAAAGGTTTTCAGATTTTTACAGGTTGTTTTGTTATCATTTGTGGCTGTCATTAGCCAAATAGCATAACATTCTAAGTCATGACTTTCCATTGACTACCCCAACACTGTGATGTTCATCAGGTCCTTGGTATCCACCAATGGCAAGTGGCCAGAAGAACTGCCTATGTTCTGGTTCTAGGACATTCTGCATCACATGGACTCAGAAACCCTACATCACACCCTCACTGACTGTGTCCAGCACTTCCTGCCCTGCACGGTTGACCTTTCAGGAACATTGCACTTTTCCTGAAGAGGAGGCAACACTACATGATCCTGTGGCCAACGTGGGAGCAGTTTGTTGGGTTTGATTAGCTGCCTTGGGATACCAAGGTAACAAACCTTTCCAAGAATGGCTGCAGAGTTGCAATTGCTGTTAGACTGTTTTTTGAAGACAGTTTTTCTCCAGTGATTTCTAAGGAAATGTCTTAATAGTTCAATAATTGGCAGACCTACATCATGAACACCTGTGGAGCCTTAGTGGAGAAGGAAGGAGGTGTAGAAAGAGACACTTATACTCTGGATATATAGTCGATGTGTGTATTTGCTAGTGGATGGCACAGGAAAAGCCATCGAGTATGATCTCCAGGTGTTGGTCTGAATGACTAAAGACTAGAGAGAGGAATGGGTTTTTTGACTGGGAATGAATCAGTGTGAGTGTGTGTGTGGGGGGATTGTTATTAACTTTTTTCATTTTTTGTGTTGTCCAGGTTGGCCTCAGACTTGATATGTAGCTGAGAATGACTTGAACTTATGATCCTTCTGCCTCAACCTCCAAGGATAGGATTACAGGTGCTGCACCACCATACCTGGTTTACGCTGTGAGGTACTGGGAACCAAACCCAGGGCGTTGTCCTTGCTGGGTGAGTACTCTATCACCTGAGCTATACCCCTACACCTGAAAGAAGCAGTGATTTCTAAAGACACAAGAGTTTGAGTATTTTATTAAACAGGCAAGCAGAGCTTCAAGTACCTATTTGATCTGTGACTCTAGAGTTCCAAGTCTGAACATTTTTATGAATAATTTGCTTAACCCAACAGTTGCTATTCAACTGGTAGAGCAGTGAGTCATGTAAGATTAGAATCTTTTTAACATATTCATTTTGACCCATGTGGTTCAAGCGTACTTTGGTAGAAGATCTCATTTCAGCCAAGTGATATAATGCTCATCCATGCAGGCCAGCTGACTGACTACAGAGACTGCTGGGAAGAAAATACAGTTTTAAGACAAGAGGTAGGAGATTCAGAATTAAAGAGCTCAGGTTTCCATGACATCTCACACTCAGAAAGAAATATCAAAAGAACATTGCCAAACCAAAAGTCAAATAAACCCCAAAGGGGGAAAAAAAAAAAAACTTGCAATTCTCTTTGGCCACAGGTCTGAGAATGGACTCTTAGAAGGCAGGGTTGCTACTACGTGACTACACACCTCTAAAAATGTCTTTGGGGGTGGTGTTAATTTGATATGATTTTGTGTAAGAGGACTCACAAAACCACACAGCGAGTATAAAGGAAATGTTTTAATAGAGTATTCAATACAGCTTTTCTTGGCAAAAGAGCGCTTAAAAGTGGAAAACTGAGAAATCACTTGTACAAGAGCTAAGACCCAGCTTTTCTGCGGACTCAAGAAGTCAATATATAGGATTAGTGAGTTATCAAACGCTGCTTCAAAACAGAAGGACCTAAGAGGATTGCTTTATGCTTTCAAGCACACACAGTATCATGAGGAAAGAACAAGGTTGCTGTTTAATGTGATTGGAGATTGCCCTTCCTATTTTCTCTGCAGTAGTAAATGAGCAACAAAAGCAGAACAGCCAGTGATCTCACCAATTACAAGTTTCAGATAGACCTAAATTGTGTTTCAAAATGAGAGACATGAATATCTTCTATTTCCTATACTTTAGCATGTCACAGGGACATCCTGTGTGTGACACAAGTGTGAGCCATGAGTCTTTGTGTGTTATTATTAACAAAGGAAGTTTTATTTCTTGAATATGAACATTTTTCAGTGCACCAAAATATGAATACTGTGTTCCAGCCTTGTCTTGGTGGCCAATCCAATATTTAGTCATCAGAACTCAAAGAGTAATTGTCTCAGGTCTGTCAGTCATCAGGACTCTATGAATGACTAACTGCCCCAGGTCTGTCAGCCATCAGGACTCTATGAATGACTGTCCCAGGGATGCCAGTCATCAGGGCTCTATGAATGACTGTCCCAGGGATGCCAGTCATCAGGGCTCTATGAATGACTGTCCCAGGGATGCCAGTCATCAGAACTCAGAGCGACTGTCTTAAGGCTGTCAGTCATAGAGCAACTTACTCAGGGCTGTCAATCAGTCATCAGAACTCAGAGTGACTGCCTCAGTGTCATCCTGCAGTCATGATTCCGATGGGCACTGGTTTCCTTCTGGAGTCATGAACTGCACCTTAGGCACCATGAGGGAAGAGTTATTCCTTCGGATGGAGTTGCTTCTCCTCATGGAGTTGTTCCTTCTCATGGAGTTGCGCTTCCTCAGAGAATTCTGGTGTGACAGTTCACTCTTTTGGAGGGTCTGAATCAGGATAGAAGGCTTCTCATCCAGCTCCCGGGCACTGCATCTTGGGGCCGCCACCTTCACAGTATTACCAAATTTGGAATAGTCCACAGAGTAAACTCCCTCCTCCTCGGTCACAATCGACACGAAGCGGTGTCCCCACTGGATCTCCTCAGCAATGTAGGAGGTCCGCGCTTGTGTGGTGATGCCAGTGGTTTCCACCACACCCTCCAGAATCACTATGACCTCCAAGTCTTGATTGACAAGGTCAGTTGCCGAGATATCATACAGGGGGCTGCGCTTGTCAATCACATGGCAGATGATCAGAGGCGCCACTAGGAAGATGTTATTGCTCTCAATGGGATTGTCCACCGGGATGTCCAGCTGGTGAATAGGGACCACCTCCCCTTCCGGCGTCGTCGTTTTCTTGACTACCTGGATGCGCACTGAGGCACTGATGATCATGCTCTTCCTCAGGTCACCCACCCGGAACATGAAGCACAGCTTGCCATTGCGGACCGCGATCACAGCATGGCGGCTGAAAATCAGAGTCTCTGCCCTTCTGTGGGCTTGAGCCGTTTTCATGAAGATGCAGCCCAACATGACCGCATTGATGATCAGACCCACGATGTTCTGTAGAATCAAAACCGTGATGGCCAGAGGGCATTCCTCAGTCATCATTCTCCCTCCAAATCCGATGGTCACTTGAACCTCAATGGAGAATAGGAAGGCAGAAGTGAACGACCTGCGGGAATGATAACAAAAATAATGCCAGGTCAAAGTGCACATGGTGCGAGCAGCCTAGGGGGAGCTCTGCTCTCCTCTACAGCCCAGTAAAGTCATTCTGGAAAGACTAATTCTAGGTACAAGCAAGCATCCTCTCCCCCGCCCTTCCTCCTTTCCATTCCCCTTTGAAAATATATATGTAGCTCCAGATTTGGGGATACAATTTCACTAATATTTCATAGATCATATGCCATGAGAAGACATTAAATAAATAAACAAATAAATAAATAAATAAATTTGTAGATATATTCCATTTTCACCAAAGCCCAACTTACTTTGTAAAATTTTATATCGGTAGGTGTTTCTTATTTATCACCTACTTGTGCCTAAGAGATTTGAGTCATATGGAAGGTTCTGAGCAATGAGTGAATTTTTTATTATTTATAACTAACTAACTTATAAAATTATAGTCATTATCCTGTGATTCATTGTTCTGTTTACACAACTTAAGACAGTGCTAAGATATAGTATAAAATGTACCACCCCACAAGCATTAATATTTTAATAAGGAGAATGGTTTTTCCATTTAGAGGAAGAGCAGTTTCTCATTGATTAGCTCCTTTTGTTTGCTAAGTGACCCAGAGAATGTTTTAAAAGAGTTTCAGGTGCCAATCTGTAAATGGGTAAATCAAGACTATGTCTATGAAATGATGCCCTCCCTCCCTGAGTCCTGTTAGTTTTGGCCTGGTGTCCTCAAAGAGTCGAGGGGAAGGTGCCAACAGGTGTCAGGATTTGCTTGGGGACTTTTTTTGTGTGTGTGTGGCTTCATGTCTTCTCCCCATCTTAGTGAAAGGACAAGGGTTTGGTGGTTCTCATGGACCCGAGTCTCTCAGAAAGACTCCTGAGCAATTCTGCTTAACCTCTGGCTGAAAAGCATCATACTTGGTTATTAGCAAATTATTCACTTGGCTGCACACCCAGTACTGGTGTGGCTTCTTCACACCCCCTATTCCTACCACTCACCCCAATTTCAAACTTCTCTAATTTCATAGAAAAAGAGAAACCATAAATGAGCAGGCTGTTAAAATAGTGTCTATGAGTGCAAGGCACAATAATGGACAAAACGTTTGGACTTTGAGCACTCGTGAGTCCATAAACATCCATCAGCTGTTAAGCAGAATCAGAAGCACGGCTGAAAGGGTTTGTGCAAAACTATAAAAACCGACATCTGCCCTACCTGCACACGGGGGATGTGTGGCATGGTCTGAAAATACTACAAATAGCAGGAATGGGTTCCACAGGAGGACACAGCACACAGATATAGCACTGAGCTTTAATACTGCTTTTATAGGTTAGAGAAGAGCCCAGTGAGGGATTTCCCTCTCCAATGTCTGTTCATGGTTCATGGGCTGTATTTTCATAAGGTTTATTTTAAAACAAAATTTAATTTCTCTATCCAGTGTAAGATTCTACTTTTTTTCTGGACACCTGTCATGCTAAACAGTCTCAACAGAAAAAAGCATTTAGGAGAGACAGAGCTGGAGGCAGGGTGTGTATCAGCTAAATAGTAAGGAGAAAAATAACATAGTTTCTATTTCCTGATTCAGGTTAGAAAGTCATCTGCACCAGAGCAAAGCAAGTCTCCCTAAAATGAGAGCGATCAAGGGATGTTTGGAACACGGCCCTGAGAAGAGTTGCTACCAAATTTGATAGCTTGGCTGGCACTGAATTTGTGAAAGGAATGGAAATTCAAATAATCAGAATTATTACCCATCTTTTAAGTTCTCTAGGAAGAGGATAAAGCTTTCAATAGTGCTAAGGAGTGGAATCCAAACGCTGGCACTGTTACAGTGATAAAATCAACTTGGCTTCATTGTAATTTTGACACCATTTCTCATGGCTCAATGCCAGAAAGGAATGTGTCTAGGAAATAAATATTCTTCAGAATCTCTTCTTTGAAAAAACGAGAAGCAACTTTTAGAAATCAGTGAACAGTTTAAAATTCTCTTTATAGAAAGAATAATCTCTTTTGATTATATACATTTAAATTTGCTAAGTGATTTCTTTCCATACATAGTGACAATATGTATGAGTAACATTAGTGTGTTTTTTTTTCCAGGTTGTCATGATCATTTCTCTCACTTCCCTTTGTCAGTATCTCTTGCCTGTTTACTGGAACCTTGTTTGATTGTAACACTCTTAGCAGCCAGATCAATGCCAGTAAGTCACTAAGAAACACCGGATTACAGTAACATATTAACTTCAAATGCTTTACACACAGGACTTTGCTCTCTGCATCCCTAGCCCTCTGCCCACGGGACTTCTTATCCACATTGTCACTGAGGCAAGCTTGAGAAAAGAAAATTCTACCTGCCCAGTGGAGCATTACTCTCTCCCCAAATCTGAGCTGGGATCTCTGTGTGGTCTAAGGTGACCTCCCAGTGATGCGCTGGCCTGGCCAATGGGAAGAATGGGCAAGGCTGTGCTTTCAGTCTCTCATCCTGCTTTTACAGGATCTCAGGGCCACCAAAAGTCCCCTTCTTAACCATTTCCTGCCTGGATTACGCTTCTTCAGTTTCTCTGCCTGTTGAATTATGTGAATTTGGAACCTGATTCAGAAAATACCCTGGAAAATTTTCCAGTGTTACCACTGTTTTTATCTAGTGAACATTTTTGCAATGGATATAAATCATATCTCTGTCCAACGAAACAGATTAAGAAAATATTTGCCCCACTGCAATGTTCTTGGATCTCATGGAAATACCAAAGGAGAGACATGGAAATCAGATGCACTTTGGCTGTCTTTGAGGTGTCCCTAAATGCTGAAGTCAAATTTATGTAGCCCAGAAGCTGGCTTGTTCCTGTCCTGTGGGAGTTTTGGAAGGGGAGACTTCAATATGTGCTTGTTGCTACTCAACCCCTTCGGTGAAAACTTGAACTAAATTTCACTAAAAACGTCTCTTCTGAACTTTCAAATCGAAAGCAATGTATCAGATATGCTAAAAAAAAAAAATCTTGAAGAAGAAGGGCTTACATTTAGTTCAATTATTTTATTTTTAGCATATTTTAAAATCAAGGACAGTTCACATAAAACTCGCTCTCCTATTTGCACAATACTTTTGGTTGACTGGAGATGTTTTACTGGTGCACACTGGACATCAGCTTCGTGATGAAAATGAGCTGTGGTTTGAGGAGTCAGGAATCCTTTGCACCCGTCCAAGGTAAACACCAAGAAGCAGTCCCACATTCTCAGAGACTCAGCCATGAAACTACATTTATGAAGACTTTGGTGTGCTAGCCTCCACCATACCCCCCAAATTTGCTTTTGTTTTTGTTTCTGAACCGTCCAATGAAAACCCTCTATTTCACAATCAACTACGTGAAAGAGCTGTTTATTTCTACATAGCTGGCAACCCCTGCCTCGCCGCATTTGCATCTCATCCTTACCTGACGTTGGTCACACAGACAGTGGACTCCAGGCCACTCTTCTCCATGGCGCTTTTCTCCATGTAAGCATAGATGTCCCCGTGGGCGAAGGCCACCAGCCACCACATGATAGCGAAGAGCAACCAGCTGCAGAGGAAGGACATGGTGAAGATGACCAGGGTGTGACGCCACTTCAGGTCGACCAAGGTGGTGAAGATGTCCTGCAGGAAACGCCCCTGTTCGCGGATGTTCTTGTGAGCCAGGTTGCAGGCTCCGCTCTTGGCAATGAAGCGGGCTTTGGGGAGGCGGTCGCGGATGCGCGGTTTGCGCAGGTTCTCGGCGGCGATGCGAGCCAGCACATACTCCTCGGGGATGATGCTCTTCCTGGCCAACATCTTCCTGTCACCATAGCCGGTCTATGCACCTGCCCGACCCTGAGGCTCCTGTCCACCACGCGCGACCTCCTATACCAGAGAAACGCTTATTAAAAACTGTCAACTTCATTTCCTCGCCTCGGGTCCTTGTACATAGGGATGCTGTTTCACACACACACGGAGTGGCGTGCGAAATTGAAGCTGTGGTCAACAATACGAAAAAGAACCTAGCTTGTGTCTGAAGTCTGAGAGCCTAGAGAAAACTTTTGATCGGAACCAGAGGAGTTATCCTCACCCCCACCGCCCACCACCCCCCAGAACACTCTTGCCTCACATACGCAAATCTTTAAGAGTATTCTCTGCAAATACAGGCTTGAAAAGAATTCTGTGATTCACCGCAGCATCTCGGGATTAGGGCAAGGATAGGTGCACACGCCTCCGTCAAGGAAGAAAATTAAAGCCAGCTGGGTTCACCATCCACTTGCTAATTAAGTAAAGTAGCAAGGTTAAAAGTAAAGAAAGGTGGAATTATTTATTTTTAGTAGCAGTGAAGGAATTGCTTCCTGCTCCTTAAGAAAAGGTTGAGCATAATTGACAAGGTACCCAGCGATGCGCGTTCGAACTTGAAGCTTTAAGTTTGAAGGGTTTACGAGATGCATTTTAAGAAGCAGCCTAGCCTCCTCCCCCCTCTCTATGTACCTATCACACTACACACTGAAAACTAATTGGCGACACAAGGACCAGACGCACAGCAGAGGGTTGCGATGGCGTTCCAGGGCGTGAGCCTGGCTGGGTGCACTTGGGCTGTAGCCTTTGAAGTCAGGGCTGCGACTGGCTTTCCCCTAGTCCTCCCGGGAGAAGCGATCGATGCAACTTACAGACTCAGGGCAGCGCGAGCTGCGAGCTGTGGCGAGAGCTCCGCGCACCCCAGGGCGCACGGCGGGAGGGTCCCTGGCTCTCACATCCCGGGAGCAGGGGCCGCCACAGCGCGAGGGACAGATCCGGGGGATGCTGGTCCTCCAGAACTGAGTTAAGACTCTAGAAGGTGCGATCCACAGTGCACGCGGGGAGGAGGGCGGGAGGACGAGGGATGGGTTTGCCCCCTCCCCCCAACTGCTGCCGGGCTCCGGGAGGGCGGGGGAGGAGTTGGGGGTAGAGATGCTGGGGGTTGTGCTCTGCTAGCTCCTCAGTCGCCTAGTTGGGGCCAGACCTCCGAGCGAGCCGGGGAAGGTGGAGGCAGAGGCCAGTCTGGGGGAGGCAGGGAGCGGGCCAGGAGGGAGGGACCACCGGGGGAGGAGGCACCCGCCAAGCCAGCTCGGTTCTCAGTAGCCGGGACTCTGCTGCCGGTCTGACACACACGTCTTTAAAAGGCTAACTGCTCAGAGAACTTTCTGAGTCCAAGTTCACTGACGCAAAGAGGTTTTAATTTATTATTTTTTAATTGTAACTTTGGGAGATCACTAGGTTGCTTCAGATTGAATAAAACCAGATGGAGAGGGTTTAGGTGTTCTGGGTGGGGTGAGGTGGAGTGGGGTGGGGCGGGTCCCTTCCCTGAGCGCACAGATCTATCACTTTAGAAGACAGGGGGGCGGGAGGGCTGAAATCCTTTCTAATAAACTACTCTACCAGTTAAGACCGGTTTTCGGGAACTTGAACACACGCACGCACGCACACGCGCGCGCGCACACACACACACACACACACACACACACACACACACACACACACGGAAGGAAGGAAGGAAGGAAGGAAGGAAAAAGAAAGGAAAGAAGAAAGAAAGGAAAGAAGAAAGAAAAGAGAGAGAGAGAGAGAGAGAGAGAGAGAGAGAGAGAGAGAGGCTAAAAACCCCATCAGTGATCTCTTCCAATAAAGAAAGTTTACCATCGATGGGCAGGAGGGCAGCCTAGGACCACATCTGCCATCAAGGCACAGTGAGTGCCTGGGTTTCTGACTTGCGAACACCCCACCCCCAGCACCCCACCCCGGCCTGTCTAGATTGTCTGCGGGTTCTACAGTAAATGTCTTCCTATAGCTTCTGAGAAGGAGCCAGGAGGGACACATTGGCTTTCTCCTGCAGGCCAAGCCTCTGTTTTTGGCGTTTGTGTTAATGGAAACTTTAATTCTTGGAAATTTTACGTGTTTTCCCAGTCTTGGGGGTCGAGAGTATATGAAGTATAAACAACATGCTCATTTACTAGAAAGACCTAAAATTAGTCCTTAATGAAGGAAAATTATGAGTTCTCCCTTTTTCCATTGTGCGTAGATCTGCTTAACCCCTTGAGGGCTGGAGGGCCTGTCCCATCAGTGGCCGTTCCTTCTGCTGTGACCCGAAAGCAACCATGTGGATGTCATTTGAGCACTGAAATGCCATCTCCAGTGCAGCTTGCCATGCAGTTTGCTGTCCATTAACATCAGAAACATTGGATAATTTTTCCCCAGAAGACAGGGGATCATGTATTCCAAGCTGGCCTCAAACTCGCTGTGTTGACCTATGATGACCTTGACTTCAGATTCTCCCTATACCTTCCAAGTGCTGGGGTCACAGGTCCACACCATCATGCCTGTTTTTTTTTTGTTGTTGTTTTGTTTTTCAAAGACAAAGTACTCTACCAAGTGAGGTACACCACTACTCCTCTTTCCTTAAGTGGTTTTATTGTCCTTTGAGACAGGATTTCACCGTGTAACCCAGGCGAGCTTGTAATTCATTATATACCCTAGACAGGTCTGAAATTCAAGGCAATACTCCTGCCTCAACCTCTTGAGTGTAGGTGGAGTTTCTTTGTGTCTTGGCAGCTGCCCCCAAATAATCACAAAGGGGCATAGTATTAATTATAAATGCTCGGCTGATAGCTCAGGCTTGTTACTAGCTAACTTGTAGAACTTAAATTAACCCATTTATATTAATCTGCATTCTGCCACATGGTGTCACTTCTCTCATCTTGCACCTCTTGTTTCTTCTCTGTGTTGTTCTCACTGTTGACTCTGCCCTTCTTCTCCCCAGTGTCCTTAGTCTGGTTCTTCCACTTAACATACCCTGTCCAGCTATTGGCCAGTCAGCTTCTTTATTAAACCAATCACAGAGACATATATTCACACAGTGTAAAGGAATATTCCACAACTGAGTGCTAAGATTAAAGAATCAATGTACCACGCCTGGTATTAAGCATCTAATATGTATTTATATAGCTAGGAATATATAAATATATGTCACTGTTTCTGTTCTTAAGATACAGACGGTGGTAATAGAGGGGTTGTGAAATTGATAAGATTTGACACAATCGAGGGTGTGATTAAAATAGGAAAGGAGGTAAGAGCACTGGCTGCTCTTCCAGAGGACTCGGGTTCAATTCCCAGCACACACATGGTAGCTAACAACCAACTGTAACTCCAGTTCCAGGAGATTCAATATCCACTTCTCAACTCTGTAGGTACCAGGAACATACCTAATTCCTAGACATACATGCAGGCAAAACACCATACACATAAAATAAATAATAAAAAATTAAAATGTTAAATAGAGGGAAATATCAGAAGGTGCCATAGGAATTCTGTGCAAAGCAGTGAAGACTGGGACACCAGGGGAACGTTCTTGGATTGTTTGGTACCCAACTTAGTCTTTGAAAAACTAGATCTATTTGGAGTATATTGAAAGTCAGGAAAAAGACACTCCACAGGCATGCAGACAGCCGTGAAATGTGGGCAAGAGCCCTTGCATAGCAGAAATTAATCTAGCCAGCAGCCAGGAAGCAGAGAGAGAATTTCTAGAGAGGGTTAGCAGAGGAAGGAAGGGTTGTCTGGAGCACGGGCAATATCCCACCAGCTGGGGTTCTAGACTGAGCGAGGAAAAGAGAAAGGAGAAAGTGAGCTGAGCACCAGCATCCACCTGTTCTGCAGGGTGGCCAGCTGCCTCTCACGCCTGCCGCCACGCCCACCCTGCCATGATGGACTGTATCTCCTAAACCGTAAGCCCAACACGGTGCTCCTGCAGGTATTTCATCCCAGCCCCAGGAGAAGGAACAATTGTAAGGGGTTCCTGAAGTTCTTACTCTCCAAAGAAATAAAACTCGTCAGTGCTTGCAGGCAAGGGAGGGTGAAAAAGACACCTTCATAGCAACCTGCCTGTTGCTATGACTACCAAGTGAAGGTTGATGGGGCCCTGGAGATGACTTCTGAGTTGGAGGGCGGGGTCTTTGTGTCTGATGACTTTGCCTTTGACTTGACTTCGGCGTTTGGAAAATCTTCCAGATGACAGTCAGAGCATTTGCATCAATAGTCAGGATGGTGCTCGATCTATTTTCTCAGTGAGCTGCTTTATTTGTCCTCATCTAAACCACTTGGGGACGCATTGCTTTGGAATCAGCTTAATAAAACATTACATAAACCAGTAATCAAAACATCATGCTACAAACTCACTTTCAGAGTGTTATCATCAATCCGAGAATGTCTACACAGTATCTGCTTCAGTGCATCCAGAAAACCTTCCTTTTAAAGCTAGGTGTGTATGTACACACACACGATCAATATTTCTCTTCTTTTACTTTAGCCATTCATCTTGTCAAGGGGAATCACCAGAATTGCAAATGAAAAGGATTTACATGTGGTCAACTCACTTATACCAACCCGGGAGAGAGTGTGTCAGAAAGCCATGAGGGGACTGGTTAAAAACAACCAATACCCGTTTTAATTGCATCTAGGTGGATAAAATAAATGCTTTGCTCTGGAGGGGGTGGGAAAGGAAGAAACTGTAGTCTATGAAGCACAAAAGAAATAGATTATATAATTATGAAACATAAAGGTTTATGAGCAATCAATCAGGGCTTGGGGAGACAGTTCAATCAGTACATGTTGGCCTAGTATGTAAGAGGACCAGAGTCCAAGCTCCAGAAAGTTTGCTGTGATGGCCCATTTCTAGTCTTAGCACTAGGGAGACAGGACAGATTTCCAAAGATGTCCTTCTCTATCCTGGGCTTTCAAACCCAGTGACTCATGCAATGCCTGGAAAGAGAACCTGACATTTCCCA